TCCTCGTCCGAGTGGTGGTGCTGGATCCAGCTCTTGTCCCCTCGCAGGGTGGTGCGCACCTTCATCTGCCGGATGATCCTGCGGCGATCCTCGTCCGAGGGCGGGATCAGCCCCCCTGGAGGAACGGCAAAGGGAGCAGGAGGGTGCTGAGGGTGGGCAGGGACCCCGGGATCAGCAGGGCACAGGGGAGCTACCCCAGCACGGAGCTCTCTGCTCTCTGCCGGAGACTCCAGCACTGGGGGAGCCTCTCACTGCCAGCTCTGGCTGAAGATGGAGACGTGGCCATCCCAACCCAATGGATYCATCCATGAGGTGCTTTCACACCTCAGCTGCCTGCCAGAGCTCCCGGGTGGCTGTCTCAGCAGAGACATCCCAGCAGGTGCAACTGGGCAGAGGGAACACAGGAACACCAGGAGAGGAGGGAATTACCTTTAGTGACACCCAGGGACATCATGGTCTCAGCAGCACCTCCCCTCTTGTGACCGCTCAAAGCCAAYGAGCCCCTGGAAGAAACAGAGAARGGGATGAGCAAAATARTAACTCTGATATAAAAAYCTTGGCTTTTACCAAGGTGGTGGTGGGGAGAGCACAGCCATGATGTCACAGCCACGGTGGCACAGCAGTGATGGCACAACCACAAAACCCAGAGGATCAGGGGGCTCTGGACTCAGAGCAGAGCTGGGATCTCTCCGCATCCATTACCCTTCAGCATCAAGAAARAGAAAATCAAATTCAGCCCAGTGGCCATGCCAAAGGTGTTTTTCCAGGTCTGGGAAGGAGGAGACCTTACAAAAGTGCCCAGAGCGACTCAGGTGGGCCAGACCTTCCAGAGCCTACAGAACTCCGAGGTTCTGGAGTRTCCTTGAGATTTGTGTCAGGTGGGTGCGGGACAGGAAGGCTCTTGGGAGATCAGGGTTGATAATGAGATCTGGTATTCCCCAGGATACATCAGAGAACTTCCCACCCCTGTCTGGGAAGCAAAGAGTTCATTCTTGCTTCAGACAGCAGCTGGGTCCTTCTTCAAGGAACTCCTGGATGTGCCACCTCAGGAATTCCTAACTCCTGGATGTGCCACCTCAGAGACCCTCCAGACCCTTCCAGATTATTTAGTGTTGTAGTTGAATCCAAATCAACCACAAACTAAAAGTCAGGGAAAACCCTGCTGGCTTCAGGCTCTGCCAAGACAAATTTAATTTTATAAATGAACAAATAAAAGAAAGAAGCCTCCTCAGTAAATCCCAGTGTTCTGGGTGAGAAAGACCCAGGTTAATTCAGCATCTGGTTATGTTTCTCAGAAATTATTCTTTTCTGTTTTCACTCCTTATTTTTTTTTCATGGAAGCTGCAGGATGCACTTTTGTTTTGAAGGAGAAAATCAGGTTTAGGATCCCAGAATGGTTTGAACTGGATRGGACTTAAAGATGACCCAGTTCCACCCTCCTCCATGGGCACCTCCCAGCTTTCACCACCCCCAACCTTCCCTTGCCAAAACTCTGCTGGATTCTAGGATGGCACTGGGAGTCAGCAATCCAAGGGCCCAGCCCTGTTTGGGAGGATCTGCAATGAGGTTGTTGTTCTGTGCCACTGGGCCTGTCCCTGCCGTATTCCTGGGATGCTGCATGCCCAGCAGGAATGCTGGGTGCAGATCTCAGGACAGGAATGCTGGGTGCAGATCTCACAGCCTCCTCCTGATGCCTGATGATTTTTGCCTTTCCTTTTTATGTACCCTTTTATATACTTTTATACCTTTTTATGCATGTTCTGTACCCTCTATGCATCCCCTGTACCCTTAGCCCACATGCTTGTAATTCCTGTAGCCTGATATCCCAGCTTAGTTTAGGCGTTTTGCTGGGCAGAGAGACCAAACATCCTCAGGAAGGAGTCAATGTACCCTGTGCTATCTTAAACCCGAGGCTCCAGCCTTGGGTGAAGCCTTCTCTCTGGAACATCCTGTGTAAACTGGGCTCTGGCCTCATCTGGGGGGGATTCATTAGAATAGGGGGACATTACTGCATTTGTTAAGTTTCTTATTGGGGAACCCTAGATAGATATGCTAATTCCTGAAACCTATAAAACTTGTATTCCAGGGGTCCATTTTGCCATCAAGTTGTGCACCTGGGGTCTCAAATACCAAGGTCAAACCTTTTCTATCCCCTTAACCCTGTCTGTGCCATTATTGAAACTGGACATTCAAGGCAACACTGCCCCCTGCTCATCCCCTCACGGACAATTCCCACAGCTCCTCTCCCTCTACAAACATTCCCAGGCATTTCTGAGCTCCCACCATGGGAAGCCTTTCCCTTTCCCCATCCCTCCTGGATCCCTTCCCTCGCAGATTCAATTGATTTCCTATTTAAAGAGAAATGAAAGCTCATCCCAGAAATCCATGAGCCTCTAAATACTTGGATATCTTCCAAGATGTGGCTGCAGTTGGCAGGAGCACAGAGCTGTAATCTGGAAAAWTTGGGTTAAAACAATTCCCAATCCTTGGAGCTGCTTCGTTACCTGAGCACCCGAGGGAGGCAGGTTCAGATCCTGCCCATCCCTGGCAGTGTCCAAGGCCAGGCTGGACATTGGGGCTGGGAGCTGCCTGGGACAGCGGGAGGTGTCCCTGCCCATGGCAGGGGTGGGATGAGATGGGGTTTAAGGTCCCTTACAACCCAAACCATTCCATGATTCCTGATTTTCCCTTGGAACCACAACTCTGGCTGCACTTGGAGCTCTCCTTCACTCCTCAAATCCTTTCCCACTCCAGGACAAAATAAAGCTGGAGCGAGTGGAGGATGAGGAGCAATGGGAAGGATCCATCCCAAAAGTTTGATCCATTCCTGCTCCAGGGGAAATGAGGGGCAGGGCCAGACTCTATGCTGCCATGGGATGGAGGCRTTTGGAAGCTGGAGGTGGGTGCCCCCAGACCACATAAACTTTTGGAGGACAAGCAGAAATTCAGGAGCATGGAAGGATCCTGGGGAAGGGCTGGAGCCAGGGAAACGACATCTCCATTCCTCAAACAGAAACTTCCCTTCTCCCTACGCCATTCCCCTCCCAAATCCAGCCCAAAGGGAAGCCACAGAGGGTGGCACGGGTGGAAAAACATGCCAGGAGCCRCACATGGGCCAAGCCTTTTCCTGTGGCAGTGCCTTCCCTCTTCCCAGCCCACAGCATCCTGGGAGTGATGGCACAAACATGGCCCTGYTCCCCGGAGATTCCTGCCAGGACAAACAAATACTGCTCCTGGGATGGGCTTGGAGCTGCCCCAGCAGAAACCCTTTCCTCTCCAGGGGATTCCAGGGGTGTGCTGCTCCAGAGGAGGCCAGCACCACTCAAACACAGGCCCAGCACCTGGAATCACAGAGCCATGGAATTCCCGAACTGGAAGGACCCACAAGGATCATCCAGTCCAGCCCTGGCCCTGCACAGACACCCCAACAATCCCCACCCTGATTGTCCCAACACTCCTGGAGCTCTGGCAGCCTCGGGGCCAGGACCATTCCCTGGGGAGCCTGGGCAGTGCCTCAAACACACAGGCACTCACTCCCATATTTCCTGCCCCAAAGCATTAATTCTGGGTCATGGAGAGTCTTCTGAACTGCAATTTTCCCTTTTTCCTCTTGTTTTGCCACAAGTTAGATCTCAGTGGGATCTCAAGTAAAGAAGCTGATCACCTGAGGGGTGATCGGTCCCTTTATCCCAATGGGATCCTGCTGGGACAGGATATGGGGACAGCTCTGCCCTTCCAAACCTCCCCCTGTCCCTCCGTGTCCATCCATGGACTGCACATCCACCCTGGGGACACCGCTCTGTGCTCCCAGCATTGTCACCTTTCTCCTGCTGGCTCCTTGTTCTCCAGCCCTGTCCTTCCCTCTGGCTGGATCTCCATGGCTGAGGATCAGACAGGCTGGCACCTCCTGGAGGCTCTGACCACACAGGATGTTCCCAGCA